TTACTTGGAAAATCAGCAACCCAGAGAAGGGCACCTTGCGAGGGCTCACAGGACCAGGCGCACACAGGGATTTGGGAGGCACAGCAGCAGGCAGTGCTGGGTCATGCCCTTCTGACACACGGTGGCTTCCTCTGCAGGTGGCCAGAGGTGCTGGGTCTTAGGATTTCGGGCTTTTTAGCTCCTTTCCCCACGAATCGCTAGCCTAAGACCTTTGACTTTTGAGCAACTCCTGCTCCCGCTTGAAGCATGCTGGCTGAGAGCCCCATGAGTGGCAGTGGCCGTGGACATGCTGGGACCTTGGCCAACATGGGGCTGTGTGGGCCCATGGCAGAGCCGCGACCTCCCTGACCCCTTCATGGGCACCCACTCTGTCAGTGAAACTCCAACCCTAAAAATGGCAGAGAGGCCGCCACGGAGTGTGCTGACCTGTGACCAGCCCGTGCCTGAGGCCTGAGTGTGAGTGGGTTCTTATAGTGGACACCCAGAGGGGACAGAGACAGACAGGGAGGGGCAAGGGGGCGCAGAGGAGAGCCAGAGACCAAGACAGAGGGTGCAGGAAGACTCCCTAAGGCAGGGGGCGAGTGGGAGAGGGAGCACGGAGGACCTGAGGGTCACACCGGCTGACGGGAGGGACGGGGCCACCAGCCTGCTCCTGGGACCCACTGCCAGCCACCACTCTCAAGCATCAGCCACCACTGCCAGCTCCAGAGCCAGAGGCAGGTGACACAGAGGGAAGGCTCCCCGCACTGGAGGGTCTTGGTGGCAGTGCAGAGGCAGTGGGCATGGGTTCCTCCTTCTAGGCCCGGCCCCTCACATGGGGGACGTGTGTCCGCCCGCTCCCATCCCTCCCCGGCCACTCGTGGCCGACTGTGTCCCACTGACACATCCCTGGGACCATCCCCCGGAGAGCAGAGCCAAACATGGAGAAACTGCCTCATGTCCAGAAAACCACATTTACCAGCCACACACAACTAAAAAAAGCAAATTACATAAACCATCTGGTTTGTCTAATAAATAGAGCTGCATAAATGGCTAAGACCAGTTTCTAAACAAATACTCAAATAAAATGAAAACCAGCCATTGTTCAGGAACAAAGGTATAATCAAATTCTAATTTTCTATTCCAATAAACATCTTTGAATTAATGCCTATTCCACTAATTATGAAGGTTTTATTAGTGTTCTACTTGATTAATAAAGCACAAAACACAGATTACGTAGAATGCGGCTGTCATTTCCCTGCGGAGAGCACTTGGGTGGTTTCGTGCCTGCATTTAAATGGAGGAGCCAGACAAGCAGAGACAAAGGGAGGGTGGGGCGGCGGCTGGGGAAACCGCTTCAAAACTGTTAAGTCAAATTTGAAAGGAAAAAAAAATGAAGTGTCCTCCTGCAGTTTTATCAATTGACACTGCCAGTAAAATAAATCAACAGCGCCAGCTTAAATGTCAGGCCGAGCAGGCGCCCCCTGGGCCCCTCCCGCGGGGGGTGGGCTGGTCTGCAGCCGTCACTGAGGATGCCACAGGCCGCGGCTCGGCCAGCCGCCCAGCAGCAGGGCCACGAGTGGGCGACATCCAAGGATTGTGACACCCTCTATGCAGGGCCCCAGGGCCAACAAGCTCGCTGGCAGGACTGCAGTTCCCCAGGCCGAGGGTGAGGGTGACGTGGGCTTTCAGAGGAGGCAGGAAAGCCCTACAGTGGCCCCAGTGGAGAGAGCAGTCCCCAGGCTGGGAGGAGCCTCTTCCGGGGAATGTGCAGCTGGGGGTGAGCCCAGTGGGGCTGGAAGATGGGCAGCAGAGTGCGGGTGACCCTGCGGGCCCGGGTTCGAGCCATTCCTGCAGACCAGCCATGCCCCCCTCATTAGGCTTGTGCACCTGGGAGGGACGGCGGGCATCTTTGGAGACCTCATCTAACAACGGGGGGCGGGGTGCGTGCGTGGGTGCACACAGGCCGGCGTTTCCCGGATGTTCACCTCCATTCCAGTAGCTGAGAAGAGCAGGTTTGTGGCCTGGTCACCAAGGTGAGCATCCGGCACTTCTCATACGAGGAGTGACGACAGGACGTGGAGGGACGGTACGTGGAGGGACATTCGCAGGTCTTTACACTCTGGAGGAGCACCTCTAACCGTGGTTTTCCACGGTCATAAGCAAGGATTTCGTAAACCCAGCCCTGAGGTTGCCGGAGGACTGAGCTCCACGGTGTGGAGATGGCCGACCCAGGAAGCCACCCAAGCACCGGGAAGGGCAGAGGGGAGCTGGCCATCCTGGCAATGGGGTGAGCGCCAGCCGTGAGTGCAGAGCCCCTCTCTGGGCGCCAGCCTGCTCTGCTGGATACCATTTGCACCACCTGCCCATGCCTGGCCAGGTGTGTAGCTCGCCACCTGCCCACTGTAAGGTGGGGTGGCCCAGTCGCCGTCCTGACCCTCTTCGATTAGTTAGTCCTCAAGCCCGGGGCTGAGGGCCCACCCCTAGGCCACATCCCGCCCCTGCCCCCAGGGCCAAGTTCCCAATGCATGGACCCTCCACATCAGAACTGGCAGGACCGCCCAGGCCACAGGCCCTGCTGGGGAGGGACACCACCCCTGGGCGATGGCCCCTGACCCAGGGTTGGCAGCAAAGCCGAAGCCCTTGGTGGCCACAGCCTGGGAGGCTGGGCAGGGGCGCCCACCCTGTGGGAGGTTCCTGGGTGTGCTGGCTGGACTCAGCTGGACCCACTCTCCTCTGGGCTTGTCTGCTGGCTTTTGTGGCAGGCAGGTGCTCAGCCTCTTCTCATTCACGCTGGAGTCCTCTGCTGTGACCATCTGTCCAGCCCTGACGGGCCCTGTGACCAGACCCGGATGTCCAAGTGGTTTCTTCTTTCGGTCTTCTCTAGAAGCTGCCCTTGTTAGTGCGGGTCCTCTTTATGCCACGTGGAGTTCTGGACTGACCTTGAAGCTCCTCGTGGCCTTCGCCGCACCCCCATATGCTGGGGGTCCCTCTGACTGCCGTCCATACCTTGGGTGCTCTGTGATTGTTCATTAAGAGCCAACCTTTGCTGGGTGCCGGAGCGCCTGCCGGTGTTCCCAACAACTCAGCAGGTTGAGGCAGGAGGGTCCCGAGGTCATGGCCAGCCTGGGCCACTTGGCAAGTCCCTGTCTCAGAACCAGAATGAAAAGAGCTGGGCTGTGGCTCCGTGGTGGGGCCTTGCCCAGCACTGACACGTGCGACAGGGACAAAGAGCTGGCCCCCTAGGGTGGTCCTGCCTGCGATCGTGGCAGGTCCCCAGGTGGGTTTCCCTTCCTTGTCTGAGGCCCCCGAGTCTCCCTGGGCAGGGGTCAGTGTTCCACCTTAACTGTCCAGCACGGACCCTTGGGCCCTGTGGGCAGGATGGTCTGCCTTTCTTCTGCCAGCTGGGTGGGTGGGCCCCAGCTGGCTTGGCTCACAGATGGTTAGGATTTAGGAATTTTGCAGACTGGTTTTTGGAGAGTTGCTCATTAAAAACTCATGTTTATGTTAACTGACAAGTTAGAGCAAATGCCCAAGGTCATGGAGAAGGACTTGCTGCCCACAGCACACAGAAGCCAGAATCAGGCCCCGGTGTCTGCAAGGAGGGAAAGAGCTTCACTGAGCAGCGCACCACGAGGAGGCGGGCAGCCAGGCGCTCCCACCTGCTCCCTGGCCTGGGTGCGCAGCTCACCAGAGGGCAGGGAGCTGCTATGGGCGAAGGCAGCTTCTGCCTGGGGGGTCCTGAGCCGTGACGTCATTGACCAGAATGAGTGGGCTTCTAATGCTCATGTCCATGGCTGGAAAACCGGTCCCAACTGCTAGGGTCCCGGTGAGAGGCCCGGAGGGTTTTCCTGGAAGACAGCTGAGGACCTTGTTGTTGAAGGGCCTTTCCGAAACCTGGTCACTTCTTTGCAGGGCTGGGGATGGGACCAGGGCCTGGGCCTGCAGGCGAGTGCCCTACCACTGAGCCACACCCCCAGCCCATTTTATTTTTTGACCGAGTACAGCAGGCTGGCCCGGAACCTGTGATCCTCTGCCTCGGCCCCCTCGAGTGGCCACTGCTCGCCTTGACCCCACTCTGAGGCCACTCACAGGGGTGTTCTCATCTCCGTCGGAGGCAGACAGTCAGGATGGGGCTACGCTGAAGGTGCGGTCCGTATTCCCATGGGAACTATGTGGCCAAGGGACGGAGCTCCTTGGCTCCCAGGGCCACAGAGGTGCTGTCGGGCCTGCTTACCTCCGCGGGAGGTGGCATGAGCTCCGGTGTGGTTTTTCAGAGCACCCGAAGCTGTTCACTGGCTCCAGGCCCCCCCCCCTGGGGTGCAGTTGGTCGCTCCTCCCACCTGGCCAGGGGCCTCTGCAGAGGGCACCCTAGGAGGTCTTTCTTTAGAGCTCCACCACCCACTAGGCGTCTTAAAACAGAAAGCGTTGATGATCGACAGCAGGAGCAGGTCTCGCACTCCCCCTCCACTGACAGCCCTGCCCCCGAGGGGCTTCACTGTGCTGCTGGTGGAAGAGCACACGCCTTAATCCTGGCAGGCTGCAGACTCGGGGAGGGACCCACGAGGGGAAAGGACTGGAAGCCCGTTGTGACCGAGGCCAGCTGCTTAGGACAGGCCACAGACAAATGGGGCCCAGTAACCCCTTGAGTGTGTGGGTGGGTGCTATCAGGAACGGTCTGATTTGGGATCCACCCGCTCCCCTGACCTAATTTCCCAAATTGTCAAGAAGGAAAGAGCCTGAGCCATACCCGATGGTGCCTCCCCTGGGACCTGGCGCTGTCCCCAGTGTGTGTTCCTGTGAGATGTGTGTACCCATGTGGACCGCTGAGCTCAGAGGCCGCCCCCAGGTGGGCAGAGCCGGGGAGGGGGAGCAGTCCTGAGGCCCGCGGTCCAGGTGGGTGTCAGGGCCGAGGCGTAGTGCATCGTGACCAAGTCAGGCCACTCCGACCTGGCCATCTTAGGACACACAGATGGACAGGGAAAACCTTGCTCTCCCTCCCAAATAAAGACAATCCAGTGTCAAGTTAGCAGTTTAATTATGAGACAATTAAATGTATTTATAGATCTCACACTGGAGGATTTCCTTTGAAACATGAGAAGGTAGAAATTACAGGTAGGCATATGCTTCTATGTTCAGATAAAGTCATTTCTAATAATCATTATTTAAATTCCAGATAGCGAGAAATGATTTTGGAAGAGAGAAGACAGATTAAACAGATACACGACACCATGGAAAGACGGAACATGATTTTGGCATCTCTCTCCCCGTATGGTGGCCCTGCTCACCATGTGCCCAAGACCCGCCATCAGAGCTGGTGGTGGGACACGCCAGACGGGCTCTTTTCACACTTAACCTACGAATGGATCTGCAGCGACTGCGACACCTCTGTGCCCTCCTGGACGCTTTCCTTCTGAGGTTAGTGAAGTGGACTTTCCTGTTTCTGGCAGGAGGAGGTAAATCTGATGCTCAGATGTTATTTTGGCAAATCCGAATTATCTAGAAAATGAGGGTTTCATTAAGCAATCCCAGGAGGACCAGAGGTTTCGGGTTTCATCCTCCAGGGGTCTGTCCCTGGAGATGGGGCCGGGCTCACAGGCTCTCTGCACCTGCTCTTCCCCGGGGTGGGGGCTTTGGATGTTCCCTGGGCCACCTGTGCAGGACAGAGCTGAGTGCTTGGGGACCCTGGGGCCTATTAAATGCCTACATTTGTTCTGACTGTGGTTATCTCATAGGAAAGTTCACTGGGGGCATCTGTTTTTGAAATGAAGGAATCGAGACTTTGACATTTAAAACGTGTCTCCAGCTGGGCTGTTCCATGGCTTGGCAGAGGGAGGTGGTCATGGGAGGTCCTGGCCTCAGGAGGCCGTCTCTGCCCTGGGAAGGTATCTGCCAGGAGCCCCACTTTCTGTGCTTGGGGTAAGGGGTGGCTGGCAAGGCCGCCCACCGTGCCGGGGTGTGTCGCAGGCACAGGCCCAGAGGCCACGATGAGGTCTCTCATCTCCCCAAAGCTGCAGGACAAGGGTCCTGCCTTAGTCTGTCCCAGTGGCAGATGGTCTTACAGAGGGAGGGACCTGTGGGCTCCCGGTCCCCCGGCATCGCACCCTCCTCCAGCGTTGGGTCTCAGCACATTCCCTTCCTGCAGACCACAGTGACGATCGGATCGCGGTGTCATGGACGTGACATCGCTGGCAATGAGAACGTGAATGTGTGCTCTAGGAAGGAGCACCCGGAGCGTGAGAACAGGGGCCCCGAACCTTCCCCTCCCCAGCTAGGTGCTCCCACAAATCTCCACGTTTGGTTCAATGAAACAACACATTTAACTGCAGACCGCGCCGTAGTGTGGGAGTTGGGTGGCCCCGTAACTATGTGGTCACCACAGAAGAATGCAGAGCCGTGCTCCTGTGGCACTCCTGGGGGGCTCCTGGAGCGGGCTGTGCGCCTACTGGGGAAGGGCCTTCAGGATGGCGTTCACCTCCTCTGCCACAGCGGTCAGCGCAAACTCAAACTGCTCCTGCGGAGGGGACGAGATGCGGGAGGAGACTGGGTGAGGGGCTCCTTCCCACTCAGTGCAAGCCCCAGAGTGAGTTTGCAGACAGTGTTTAGGGAAGAAGAACAGTCCCAGGTTTCAGTGGGAGCCACCAGAGCTCCTGGGTTTGTGACGGACACGGCTGGGGCTCATGGACTTCTGCAGAGGCTCACTCAGGCCGCAGAGGACAGCCTGGTGCTCCACACAGGTGCCAGCAGGCGGGCACACCCTGGGACAGTCCTGCCCAACAAGCCCCGAGCTGATCACCAGGGAACAGGAAGAGCCCAGGCAGCTGGGTCCCACACAGGACACGGCCCCACTTGTCCCTGACTGCCCTGCTTGTAGGAGATGGGGTGTGAAGGATTTGGGAGGCCGTCCTGGACAGGCTCTGCTCCAGAGAAAGGCTCTGGTAGGCACGGCTGTGATCCCTCCAGCCCCTGGTCACTCAGGGGCGTGGATCTGTGCTGGCCTCCTGGTTTTGGTGGGATGATCTACGGTGTTGACCTCTGGGGAAGCCTGGGGAAGGGTGTCTGGGGTCATCTGTGTTGGTTCTGCATTTTTCTTTTGCAAGTATAAAATAATAATAACTTAAAAACCCAAACTAAGAAAACATCGAGTGTGCTGTAACTTCCAAAGCCCCTTCACGATAACCACGGAAGGCTTTGGTGGTATCTCTGTGTGCCACAGAGAGCGAGCGAAACCCACGCGGCTCGGCTCTGCCCACCGGGCCATCCCTGTACGGCTCCCCAGCCGGGGTCAGCGTGGAAGTACCCGCCTTGGGGGGCAGAGGCCAGAGCGAGGACCGGCAGCCTTAGTGGGAAGGTCTTGGCTGGGGTGCCACCCCGAGTCCTCTGGTTCTGCTGGGGAGTCCTCTTTGTGGGAGCGGTTAATGAACGTTGCCTCGGGGCCGGGGCGGGCTCTGAAAGTGCAGGACGGCCCCGCTCCATGAGGCCATCTTAAGAGACCTCTTCCAGTCAAGGCGACCGCACGCGGCCTTCAGTTGTCCAGCTTCTCATCCTAACATCTGGATGGAGAGCAGGACTCGGGAACTGGCCGCTCAGGGAACAATTAGACCCAGCCACCAGCCAGGGACCCAGGGACTCAGGCCCCACCCAAGTGTGCTCTGGCCAGCCTACCCTGTGGTGCCCGGTCCAGCAAGGAGCTTCTTTCTTTCTTTTCTTTTTCATTTTTTGTGGGGTGCCGGGGCCTCGCTCACACTAGGCAAACACCCCACCACTGAGCTACACCCCCAGCTCCACTGAGGTTTTATTAAACTAAAATCCTGTAGTTGAGGAAAGTAATTTTGCGAGGACATCTTTTAAAAACCCATGCCCCTTGAGTGGGCCCTGGTGGCATCTGGGTCAGGGGCACACAGAGAAGGCAGAGAGCCGGTGTGCAGTGGCCTAGGTGTGTCTGTTGCCAGCCATGCGGGGCCTTGCTGTTAGGGGCGGAGAGCACATCAACCTCTTTTCTAGCTGTTTCTAGCTCTGGCCAACCACGGCTAAAGAGCTCCCATTTCCACCCTGGGGTTGCAGCCTGGGCCTTTGGATAAGTCTGAGCTGCTTTGGGGTGTTCAAGGAGCTCTGCACACCCTGGAAACACTGAGATGAATGCGCTCTGTGGCCCCCACGTGGCACAGCTGAGGTGGAGGAGGTGTGCGTGCGGAGTGTGGGGTGAGCTCAGGACCCCACACCCAAGGGTCCTGGGTTGCGATTGCTCCCCCCCCCCCCCCCCCCCCCCCCACCCCGCACTTCAGTTCCCACCACCTGGGACTTGTCAGCATCTGTTGATGCAGAAAGTATCCGAGTGGCTGCAGGAAGAGCCAGTGAGCCCTCAGGAAGCCCTGGTCAGCCCTTGCCCATGCTGTGGACATTGCTCAGTCAGAGCAGAGGGTTGCATGTGGCTTATATTAAACCGGGCCTGATCCCCGCTCCTCTGAGGAGAACAGCCGCAGAGGGACACTGTCAATATCTCAAGTCCCAGAGGGCCGGCTGACAGTACCTTTGTCTGGACCATGCCTGGTCTCTGGTCCCTCAAGTGCTCCAGGGTCGCGGCGATATCAATCTCCTTAGCACCTGCAACAAACCACAAATTGGGCTGAGTCCAGAGCAAGGATAATCCATGCCGCATCTGTCAATCTCCGGCTATCAGGTTCCCTTTGGGCAAAGAGGCCAATTGAAAATTATTACACTCATCCCTCAGCCGCTTGGCAGGCAGCTGCGATCCCAGCGTTCATATAGAGAAATAAGGCCAGGGCAGCTTTCATTAGCATTAATTCAAGAAAGCGGGCTGAGAGCCGTTTTAAGTGCCTGTGCGGGTACTTATCGACAGCCAGCCGCCACGGGCCGAGGCGTCGCCGGCCTTTCTGGTGGCGTTGAGAGGACCCTGGTCAGAGGAAGCCGGGTATGTGCTTTGATTTTGATTCCATAGGATTATTTTCCTTTTAGAAAAGATCCGTCAGACCAATCTTTTCTACCTTAGTGCCGGCTTTTGATAGAGCGTTCCAGAGCTGAAGGAAGGGTGACACCGCCTTGGCCGTGTGCTCAGGTGGGGCTCGGGGCCGCGCCTGTCCTAAGGTGGGTGACGCTGGGTGCACACAGATGCCACCCGACTTTAAGTTCAACCCGAGTGTTTTCCACGCACACACCTGCTTCCCAGTGTGTAAGGCTCCCTGAGGACAGACAACCACGGGACGGGACCCCAGCCCCTCAAGCTTGCCTTGGTTAGACGGGGGGCCCTAGTGGCACAGAGCAGGGCGGGAATCAGGAGCAGGGGCCCTGAAGGGGGCAGGGAGCCACCATGGGAACCCCACACAAGAGCCAGGAGTTCAGGGGCTGCGAGTGACCCCAGTGGGGAGCTGTGACCACCTGCTACATGAGGTCGGGGCTAGGGTCACGCCCCCTGGCAGCTGCGAGCATGGGAACCAAGCCCCACCAAGGCTTGGTGGGACCAGCACCGATACCCTGGAGAGCGTCACCAGAACCGGCAGCTTGCCCCCCATGCCCGTCAGGAGCCTGGATCCACATTGCGAGGCCACATGGAGGGACTCCTGTGGCTCTGCTGGGTCCCAGCAGAGCAGCAGGCTGTGACTGCGCTGCCGCAGGGATCAGCTGCCGTGGCTGTGGGGCCAGGGGCTGAGTGACAGTGGCCTGCACATCACCTTCAGGGAGGAAGGCCAGAGGCCCTTGCCGTAGGCAACCAGAGAACAGGTGGGGTGGGCCGGAGGCCTGGGGGGAGATGAATTCCAGCCCAGGTCCTGCTGCTCGAAGGGACACAGGGCAAGAGCAGGGACAGCCCCGCCCCAGCCCGGGCCGGGCACCCTTGGAGGCAGACAAATCCTGTGCTCTGTGCCCAGGGTTTCTCCAGCCTCCCTGAGCAGCCAGCACCGTCCGTGGGGTCCGTGAATATGAGCGTCCACCAGCTTCCACGCTGCAGCTTTCCCAGCAGGACAAGGGCTCCGCGGGGAAGCCGGCACCTGGAGCAGTGTGGGCCTTGCTGCCACTCGCTCAGTGTGAGCAAGTCGACGTCATGACCAGTCCAAGCCACCCAAAGTACACAGACAACACAGTCTCCGCACAGGGAGCCCCACAGCTGCCCCTTGCCCTCCCCAGCTGACCACACAGCACCAGCAGGTGTTCACACCTGGGGACTGGCCGCCAGCACACCACGGGCCTGATAGGGAGAGTCACACTGGAGAGAGTAGCAGGGTGAAGCCTCGTGCAAAACCCAGGGCCCTCCCTGAGCTGCGCTGGCCCTGCATGGAGCACGGCGGGTCTGTCTTCGGCAGCATTCTACTGGATGAGAAGCTGAGCTCAAAAGACCAAGTCCACGCAGATTGGTCCTGAGTGCTGAAAAGGCCACTGGTCTCTAATCTTTTGCTGAGGTGCAGTGGGCTCTGCCTCCCACGCTGTAGCCAGCCCTCCCTCCAGAATGGGCAGTTAGGGCGCCAGGAGACGACCCGGGGACTCATGGTGTGCGTAGGCACACTGCCATCACATGGATTCCAGGAACAAAGCCCTCCGTGAAGAACCAAATGCTCAGTTGTGCTCGGGGCTGGCTTCCACCCTCTACAGTGGCCACTCAGCCCCGACCCACGAGCCTGAAGTTCTGGAGAGGGAGGAGTGCTGTGAACTGTCCCACCTGACAGGAAACCTGAGGTCTTCCAAAGCCTGAGGTTGAGGGGCTCGTCTGGGACAGACTTGAGACAAATCACTGGTGGCCATGGTCACTGCTGGTGACCATGGAGGACATTCTTGTGAAGGCTACAGTTGAAACCCCTAGTTCTACTACCTCGGGGCACTTTTGTTTTTGAGGGCAAGTGAGAGAAGGAAGAGCCGACCTTGTGAGGTCACCTGGATGGGACACCAGAGTCCCTGAGCCTGAAACCACGCCTGAGTGGTGGGGGAAGTTAGATCAGTGCTGAATCGAGCCAAGCACAGGGATGAGGACCCAGATTTGTCAAGCAAAGCCAGCTGTCTGAGAGATGTCCTCTAGCCCAGCAGAGTGAGGAGCCATGGGTTAGGTGCAGGGTGAGGGAAGAGCTTCAGAGGTCCCACAGGCACCACCCCAGGGACGCCCGGCCCTCAGGGAGCCGCTCTGGGCAGGCCCCTGCCCCGCTGTCCAGCTCCTGACCACCAAGAGACCCTGTGCAACCAGAGTGGCGGGGCTGAGGCAGAAGGGCGGGCCTGTGGCCTGGCCACGCCAGGAAGGTGGTTCCGAGGGCTCTAGGAGCTGCCTTGGCGTGCCTCCAAGAGAGTCCTCTCCTGGGAAGCCCATTAGGTAGCACACAAAGGTGCTGCCGGCCAATGCAATGTCCCAGGAGCACAGGAGCAGCCCAGGACCTGGGCACTCCAGGGTTCCCAGGCGGGAGGCAAGACAGGGATCTTAGCCACGAGCGGGACTCTGGGTGCAAGACCACAGGAAAAACCGGCACCCTTCTGAGGGCACCGAGGCTTCGCCCCTCTGGGGACAGGTTGAGTCTGGGCCATGTCTCCAGGGATGGGACAGCGGTGTGGGTGCCAGGCCTCCTGCCAACACCTGGGCGCCGTGTGCACTGGGCCGCACTCTCCTGCCTGGCTTGCTTCCTTTCTGCCCTGACGCCCATCCTCTCCGCTGCCCGCATGCTCTGCAGCGCCTAAGTGGCCGCTGGGGAGCCGTCCAGGGCTGCTCTCACTTGGTTCCCAGTTTCCAGAGCTTGACGGTGCAGACGTTTACGCATTGGTTAAATATATTTTTAAGACAGCAGAGGTTTTTCAGCTTTGGATAAAGCCATTATCCAATAAGCAATAAACATTAAAATAACATTAGTATTAAAGTATTAAAACTATTTTTTACCAGGAAAGAATCAATTTGGAGTTAAGAAAACCACATAAATATGCCCCTGGTGTGTCTTTAAGAGGTTGCTTTGATTTCTCCTGGAGTGGGTTATGGCCGAGGGTGGCCCCTCTCTGTCCAGGTGGGGGAGTGTGCTGGGGCCCTGCGGTCACTCCTCAGCACACCCAGGAGGGATTGCTCAATAAGCCCAGATTGGTTTCATTGCAGATCTCAGACCCATGGGTCTGCAGACTGGGACTGCAAAGCATTCCCTTTCCTTGAAAGTACAAAGGACACTATGTATCAAATGTCCACCAAGAAGGCCTGCATGTCGCATGAGTAAATGATCCTGGTTCCACCTTCTGGACCAACTGAGCAAACTTTCTTTCCTCACTGCAGGCATTTGAAGGAGATAATGGTGATTATTCTGACCCCAAAAGAAACCAGTTGGAAGAGCTCCTACCTCCCAGGAGGCCAGCAGAGTGTCTCCTGTGTCCACTCTGGGATTGTCTTGTTCTCTGTTGCTTGGAGCTGGGTTCCCAGGGGCTGAACCCTGAAGGTCAAGACACCTGGCAGAGCCAGACTGGCACTGAGCTGGGTGAGGGCCACACAGCCGGAGGCCCCTCCTGTTCAGCAAGACAAACCCTGGCTGCAGGTGACAGGAGTCAGGGACACTCTGTCTGCCTCCACCAAGGTAGCCCTGACACTCACCAAGCCAAGCCGCAGCGCTGCCTGCTGGGACCAACCACACACATGTGTATGCACACACATCCAAGCACACACCTGCACCCATCACACCCACATAATGTGCACACTCACATGCATACCTAGACACACAGGCACCCACCATTCCTAAACACACAGGAACACCCATGCAAATACCTGCACCCATCACACCCAGACACATACCTGCACACCCACATACACACCTGTACCCCATCACACCCAGATGCACACATGCACACCCACGCACACCTGCACCCATCACACCCAGACACATGCACACACCTGCACCCCTCACACACAAACACACAAAGCATACCTACACACACACCTGTACCCATCACACCCAGACACACACATGCACACTCACGCACACACCTGCACCCCCATGCACACATCTACACCCATCACACCTAGACACATCACACACACCCACGCATACACCTGCACCCATCACACCCAGACACACATGCACACCCACACACACACCTGTACCCCATCACACCCAGATGCATGCGTGCACACCCATGTACATACTGGCACCCATCACATCCAGACACATGCACATACACCCATGCACACATCTGCACCGGATCACACCCAGACACACATGTGCACACCCACGTACACACCTGCACCCATCACTCCCAGATGCACGAGTGCACACCCATATATACCTTACACTCACGCCACATACCACCCATCATGTGCACACCATATGCACACACCACACCCCACATCACGTGCACGTGCTTGCCTCCATGCCCCACCCCTCACATCTCTCACACACACACTCTGTTCTGGGATTTATGTTTTTACTTCACACTTTTCTGAATGACTCTAGCTAAAGACTTATGGAAACTATAAGAAGCCTTTTTGCTGACCTAGATAAATTATAATCTCCTTTTTGCAACATTTTGTGGGATCAAAGGAGACCCCTTGGCTCCATGTTCCCTTGAAAATCAAGTGTATCATACAAGACAAACCAGACACCATGTTCTTTCCTTTTGAAAAAAATTCTAAATCATCTGGAGAAAGC